CCGCAGCACCCTGCTCCTGGCCGCGTTCTCCAAGAAGGTGACGAGGCTTGGTGCTTGGCTCCGCTCCACGGATCCCCTCCGCCATCGCCCTCTGGGGTTCAGCCCGTATCTTCGGCTCAGGGGCGCGATTGCCGATGGCCTCCAGGGCGCCGCGGGGGCGCAGTCCCCAAGTGGGGGCCACTCTGCGCTTGAGGACAGTCAGCGGGCTCCTCTGCATGATCATCACCGTACGTGAACTGCGGGGAGATGGGAGGGAAGTCAGCGGCACCGGGACGGGGGGACATTGGTCCTGAACGCTGAACCCCACGAGCGGCAAAGGTGCGCGGTGAGGGCGGGAGGACTGCGCGGCAGCACCTCGAAAACGGAGAGTTGGAGGAGGGGAACTGGGGCAGGGTTGCACGCAGCCCAACACGCCCCCACCCTGCCCGAAACCGGTGTGCTGGAGGAGAGCACCCGGGAAGAGGGTTGCGCGGCTACGAGCCCCCGAAGATGGAGGGTTATAGATGCGGACCTGAGGGTCTGCACAGCTGCCCCGCCACACATCCCCACCCCACCCCAAGGACTGAAGAGGAGCCGGGGAGAACCGAGGGGGTGACCCAGAATTAGAAGAAGTGTGCACGCACCCCACCGCCCTCCTCACCAAGACGAAGCTGGGGTGAGAGGCATAACTCGGGAGGTCTGCACTGCTGCACCCTCTCTTCCCGCGAATCTAGAGGATTTCTGGGCAGAGGGGAAGAGAAGGAAGGAGCAGGATGCGGGAGGGACGCGCGGCCGCCTTCACGCGCCAGCTTAGAGCGAACAACGACACCCCCTCACCTGCGGCGTGACGCGCCGGTCCCGGTCCTTCTCCCACCGGCACCTGGACTCCACGGCGGAGTAGCCGACGCAGCACCAAGCAAGCGGGGAGCTCAGCGCAAACCCCGCGGACTTAAAGCTCCCGGCCGTCTCCGCTCATTGACCCCTCGCTGCCGGCAGCCCCGCCGCCGTGCGGGACCCCGGCGGGGGTGTGGGGTCTGGCCCACTCGTGAGCGCCCCTCAGCTCATTTTGGGCTCTTCCCCTCACGGCGCGGCGGGTCCCGGAGGGAGAGCCGGGCCGGCGGCGGCAGGAGCGCTCGGGGAAGCGCGCTCGGTGACAGCTCCCGCCGGCACTTCCATCACCGGGCGGGCGGCCGCGGGGTTGCGGTCTTCAGACAAGAGAAATGCCCGGGAAATTCCTTTTTGAGCGTGTTCTCAAGCTCGAATCAGCTCCTGCGCAAACTGCTGGAGATTAAACCAGAGCTCTCCACTAACAAAGGCTTTGTCTTAACATGCTTACAATTGATTTTTTAACCAGAAAAGTCAAGATGCACTACGTAACTTTATTGAAAAACACATTTATTTTTTCCTTGTATATATATAGCTTGCTGCTGGAGGTATGATACATAGCTGCAGTTTGTTTTAAATCTTTGTTTCATCTTTGGAAGTGTTTTGTTGCAACTGTTCCCATTCAAGTGACTAGACTAAAAACTCCCCCACCTAGTATTTATTAATATACAGATCAACTGGCCTATACCTGCGATTTGAAAACCTGCCCTTACAGCACAGTTCTGACAGATCTTGTAGCAGGGGGAAGCCTGAACTCTTCTGTGGATTATTGCCAGGGCTCTTGTCAAATGAATTTAGATAGATGTTTATTGCCATGGTCTTCCTGTCAGGGTAGCCAGGAAAAACACTGTGCCTGTGTTGGGTAACACACACAAAGCTGCCAAATGCATGTTAAGATGCAGGTTTGCACTTGTCTGTGAAGTATCCAGGTATAAGCTGATCTTCACTGCCATGAGCATCTAACTTGGTCCCTGTTACCTTCATTTTTCTGGGTTCTGTCACTGATTGCTCAGAGAAAGTTCTGGCAAGCACAAAGGCTTTTCAATGATATTAAGCTAACTTAATTGGAAAAGAAAGAATCGCCCCCCCCCCCTCCATCTGCCTATCACGATGGGGCTAATGCTTGGTTTGGTGAAATGCTCCAGTACAATCACCTCAGACATAAGTGGCACACGTAACTTGAAATGAAGCTTTTTGTCTGAGAATGGATCTGAGAAGATCATGCTGCTTTTAGGCTGATAGTAATTGTAGCACTGTTATTCAAGTGACCTGAGCCTTCTGGAGGAGGCAGGGTGAGAAAACCACTGCCAAAGGCATAAATTGGAAGAAAACAGGATCAAGCTTTGAGAGATCTGCTGGTTCTGCAGCACTGTCCCAAGAAATGAGGGACTGTGGTTTGTGCAGTCAAACTTCATTACTGCATGTAAAAGCAATAGAAGCTCTATGACCACAGTTTTTCAAATCAGTCCTGTAGTGCAGATAATGCTTTAACACACCGGGAAGAAGGTAACAATGCAAACTTGTTTCACAGTTACAAAACAAACTACACTGTTTGTATAAACAGTCCCTACAGAAGTAGAATTGCTCAAGGACATTTTAAACTGGTGCTGGTGAATGTGATCTATCCTCAAATTCCACTAACAAGTCCAGTCTTTATAATGATACTCAGACACTGATCCTAAATACCAGAAGACAACAACATGGCAAAATAAGACTGCTGTGATACATGGAATGATGAGACATACTTATGCCTTCTAACCATGTATTGATTTTCTGTATTCCAAGGAAAATATTTAAGGACTTCAGACAAGGAAGAAAAGGGGGCATGGGAAGACTGTATACAGATTTAAGGATAACTACCTCTGAAGGCACAGTCCCAGGAAGCATAATTATGTCTTAAACACACTCTTTTACCTTCCACTCAAGAAGTCTCAATTTACAGTTTGTTTCAGTAACTTGACAAGTCCCAGACTACTGTCACAGTTTAGCATTCTAAACCTGGACTGCTTCCTTGGGTAATACATGAAGGCAGAGTTGCCTACAGTACTACTGCAGCTGAGTTATGATATTATGAAAAAAAATCAAGTAAATGACAGAATAGTATCCTGAAGAGGTGAAGTTTAGCTGAGGTTGCTTACCAATTAATTACTTTAAGCTTCAAACTATTGCATTTGCAGTTATTCATATAAAAAGTAAAAAAAAATTATTTTACTGGGCAGTTGATTCTGAGTCATCCCAGGAAACAGAAAAGTGTCTGCAATTTCTGCCCTCCCCAGTTTCTGTTAACCTGCGGATTTTTCTCCTTCAAAAAGGAATATAATATATATTTAAAATGGTAACATGTTTGTTCTGATGCATTGTTTAGAAATCAAATTTGTACGCTAAGACATTACATAAACCCCATGTATTTCTATCATCTAACGAAAGTGTACAAAACCCAAGACTTCGGGTTGGTTTTTACTCCTCATAATAAATGTGTAATTTTTTTTCAAAGAGTCTTCCAGCTATGTTTGAAAGAAGAGAAATATTTTTCAGTTTTGTTTGTATTCCAATATAAACTATTTGCATTTCCCACTGCTAACAAGAAATTACAATCATGATGTTCCACACTTAAGAGAAAGTATGGAACATATCTGTGTTCATCCACAAGTTACAAGACTTCTGTTTAATAAACACCAAATACAGTATTTAAGATTTCATTATTCTCACATATACAGCAAATATTCAAGTCCATCTTATTTCCTTTATAAAAGCATCTTGATCCAATTTTATTAAAGACAGTATTCTTAAAAAAATTCAAATATATAGTACATTTGTTTCTGTACATGTATGTGCAAGATGTCCTGATGAAAATTTGAATCTGGAATCCTACAAGCTTCACCATTTACACGTCCTTTGGTGACCACAACTTTGTATCACATTATGTAAGTACCATCTTTGTAGTATTTCATGGATTCTAGTTGCTGAGTCATTGCAAGGACATCCTGAAATCCTGTACTGAGTCCAGACATGTGCTGAAAATAAGCTTCCTTTTCCACTTGGACAGTTAGGTTGTTTACACCAGCATCTTTCAGAATCGCTGTAACCTGAATAGAACAGTATGGTTAACATTAGTATTACACTTCGTATGCATCGCACAGTAACTTGCAGTATTCTGGCTCTGAAATACTATAGATTAGAAAAATATCATCATAAAGAATTCAATTTTCTGGAAAGTAAAGACTAGCTTCAGAGGGTACTGGTTTGCAACTTCTGCATAACAGGTAGTTCTCAGTGTCTTGCAGAAGGAAATAAGTATCTTTTTAAGGAAAAGAAGAACTCAAGGCAGACAGATATTAGTAAGCCAGTCATAAATCCACAATTAGCATCCAGGAGATGTTTACTGCCTGTTTTCCAGCACGAAATCCACCTCCTCCTCCTTTTCTCAGAGCAGATGTAGTGTCACTTTCAACAGTGATAAAAGTGCCCCCCCATTTTTTTTTGTTTTAGCAGACGTTTCAGCAAACAACTCTTTCTACAACCAATTCCAAGCTAGCAGACAAGAGGAAATACAGCATTAGAGACCAGCTCTGAGACATTAACTAACAGCTACAAAAATAATGACAAACATCAGCTTCAAAATTCAGTCTACAACTGAAAAAGAGCCACAGAGTAAGAAATTAAGACATTAAGGTCTAAAAACCTTGCATCTTACCTGCTGTACAATTCTCTGTTCTGTCACATCTGATACCACTTGCACATGTATTGTACCTGCCACAACACTTGCAGAGTGACACCAAAAATGAGGATCTCTGTAGGATATGACTCCCTCTATTTTTTGAATCTGTAAAAAATTAAATTACAACAATTAATTTAAGAACTCACTTTAAACTTGTGTATGTACATGGATACTGGTGGCAAATATTTTACAGGGTAACAAAGCTGTATAGCAAAGCAACTTTTCCAGCTAAGCTGTATTCAGAAATATGTGGTACTGGAAGGTCACCTTGCTACTACTATCAAAAATTAGAAACCAGATCAAACTAAGTGAAAAACTTAGCAGAGTGCAATGCTAAACAAGGTGAGAAAAAAAATAATTTAGCGTACGGATCACAGTAACATCAATGGACAGACCAACCAGAAAGCTGGCTGGGCATTCAGCCATTTCAAGGGCATTTGTACCTTACTGTCCAGGATAAGCAGCTGTTTAGTTATCACAGCTGGGCTTAATTCAGAGACATAATTATATCTTCCCAAAATTTATCACTTTTAAAAATTTCATGTTTGTACTGGGTCTGGCTGGAGTGGACTGAACTTCTTTCACGGTTGCCAGTAAGGTGCTGTTTTGAATTTTTGCCTAAAGGAGTTTTGAATTTTTACCTAAACGAGAACACATCAATATTTTGGCTATTGCTGAACAGTGCTTGGGCCCTATCAAGGCTTTCTCTTTTTCCCAGTCTGCCCTTATCCCATATAGTAGGCTGGGGGTGAGCAGGAACTGGGGAGGGGAAGCAGTTGGGATGGCTGACCCAAGTCGGCCAGAGGGATATTACATGCCATATTATGCCATGCTCAGCAGCAAAAACTGGGGTAGAGGAAGAAGGGAGTTTTTTGGCTTCCAAGGTGGCTGTTGCTTGGAGAGTGGCTGGGCATCAGTCTGCTTGTGGAACACAGTGCACTGCATCCCATCTGTTAAACTGCCTTTATACTGTTCCCAGATTTTTGTTGGTTTTGCTCTTCTTTTCCTCTCCTGTCCCACAGGCAGTGGTGGTAGTAAAGGGGGGAGCAAGCAAGTTGCTGTGTGGATGTGTGGCTGCTGGCTGGGGTCAACCTACAGAAAGCATATTGTTTTACTGTGATGTACTTTTCAAAATGCTTTTCCTATTATCTTTTACTGAATTGCTCTTTGATTGTTTTCAAACAGTACTTTCTTCTTCCTCAGTCCCCCAGAATTGCTGTCTTCCCTCATCAGAAGATGAAACCCACTCTGCATCTCACTTTCACTCTCCCAGCCAATTTCCCTTTATTCTTTTCTTTCTCATGCAGGCAAGAACACATCTACCCCTCTACTAAGTGACAGGACACCAACAGGATAGTCTTCCTTCTTTAATCAGATATCCTTCCTTGCTGCCTCTTGTTGATGGCTTCATCAAAGAACATGAAACTAGTTCTCGGACAGAGTTCTCCACACCAAGATCTGCACTATGATTCTGGGCAGGAACTTCAAATGAACCAAAAGTGAAGACTAAGTACCTCAAAATATATACCATACTGCGTCAGAGAGGAAGATAATGGACTAGAATAAAAAAATCAGAAAAAACAGCAATTTTTTTGCCATCTCACCTACTGCGAATCAGCATGCCCTTCATGATATGGGCAGATAAGAAAACCTGACAGGCTCAAGATATAATTCTGTAATCTGAACTGTACACATCAAGTTTAACAAGGCTGCAAGCCTTTGGTAATTGCTACATTACTTTCTCAGTACTACGTACCTTTTCCATACTGTTACCATACTTGCTTGAAATCATGGGCTACCCATAAAAGCAAAAAAATACTACAGGTTTTTTAGTTACAAACCAACTTTAATCAGTGGAACTCCTAATCCTGTCACATAGAAGTTGTCTAAGACAATGGAAGCTGTCAAACTGAACTACTTGAGTTTAATAATTATTAAAAACAGTCATAGCTTTGTATGTTTGTGTATGAAAAGATTTAGTATTGCAGTTCTGACCTTTTCTAAAGCAGCATGCAGATCTTTCTCCTGTTCTGGAGGTATCCTCAACAAAAGCACTTGACAGGCATCTTTCAATAGGGGGATAACACTAAGAAAAATCAAGGTAGCAATAAAAAGAGAGCAGAGTGGATCAGCTATGAGCCATCCAAATCGCTGAATAAATATTGTGGATACGATAACACCAACACTGCCAAGGGTGTCTGCTAACACATGCAGAAACACACCTGAAAACAAAATAAACTGAATGATTAAGTTGAACAGTACTGTTTAAAATGTATGTATATGTTCAATAGTGGAAACACAGCTGAGTTTATTAAATATGATAAACACTCCTCAAGCTAAACAGAGGCAACTATCTGCCTAACCTGATGCAAAATTAAATAAAACATTTAGTTTTTCTGATGTTTAATTACAAATCAATGTAAAAAACCATTTTTACTCAGTGCAATGATCTAGGTAGGTGTTTACAGATTAACTCAAATGTGAATAGTCTTTAAATTGTTAATGAGATTTGTACTATACAGCATATTCTTTTAATTCTGTATAGAGAGACTCACTGATCCTTAACAGAGGATAAAAACATCAGTGTAAATGCACTGGTCTGCTAATGTGGACAGATATTAATGTATCTGGTTTTTATATGCCAACTCTGCTCCAAATTTGTATGAAGATTGCCTATCTGCTACTGCTTTCATGGTGGGTAGCATTCTCAATGTATTTTTCCAAATGGGCACAGAAAAATAATCTAATAATTTGTAAGATTAATGCTAGTTAAGTGTCAGCATTTGGAAAAATACTGAAATAGCTAAGAGTGTGGGCAGACTTCATAAAATTGCCAGACAACAGAACAGCCAGTTGAATTAGGATGTAAAATAACCAGTGAAATATGAGACTATTTACTAAAATGCTTATGCTCTTACAAGGTTACACAAAAAACTCATTCCCTTATAGATTTTTTTTTATAAGCAAGGCAGTTGATAAATAACTACTTTCTAACTACTAGGGAAAAAATTCTAAGAGGTAGCTATGCGGAAATTTTATATATATTGCCCTTCTTGGTTAGCTTCTGATTTTAGATTTGGAAAAGAAATTTTCATCTTTTCCACCTTATCTTCTGAATCACAAACAGAAGCATATTTTAGATTTCTGGTTTGCGTTTGTTCTTCTCCCTCTTATACCCTCCCACAGTGTTTTTACAACCAGCTGTCACGTGATACCTAGAAGCATGCTAACCTTCATAGATAGAGACCTTGTACTTTTCATCTCCACTGGGAACTTAAAAATGAGGACTTCAAGCTTATTCAATAAGATTCACAATGACTGTTTATTAATGTTACTGAAGACTGTAGATTAATGCTTTTTATTGGTCCTTAGGTATTACCCACATCTCAGAAAGCCATGCAAAGAAACATTTCAAGTTATGTTTCTTCAAGTTAAACTCATCAATGAAGAAACAGTGACCAATCAATGCACATTACATTATACGACTGTCAGATCACTTCCAGAGAGCAATTTTAAGAATGATGCATAGTACTGTGTCTGATTCTTCAAAGTCTGCTGCAAATCACATATACCATTTAAAATTCAATAATCTGTACTTGCCTCTCATGTTGGTATTCATGCCTCCTCCAGAAGACCCGTGGGAATGTCCATGGTTGTGCCCGTGGTCATTGTGGGAATGGCTGTGCCCATGGCTGTGGCTGTGCCCATGGTGAGAATGGCTGTGATCGAGTGACTGACAACCTCCCCGAGAAGCCCCATGGGAGTGTGCGTGGCTAAAGGCACAGATACCAACAAGGTTTACGATCAGCCCTCCAACAGAGACTGGCTGTGAGAAGAAGAAAGTCTTTAAGTTTCACTACATCTTCCCAGGTGTTCAAGTTTATTTTCTGGAACATGGTAATAAAAAATACTGTGCACCTAATTAAGGAAAATTTATCATCATGTGTAAGCATTAATATCAACAGAAGGATTATTCTGATATGGATTCCTCATCATATTCCTTTCAATATACAAGCTGTTTTCAAAGGAGTTTTCCAATTCTATTCCTCCCAACTTCCCCAAAATCCCACCCAACAACCACGATCAAAATGCAAAACCCAGTATCCAGAAACCATGACAAGATAGCAAATTCAGTTTTAAGGAGGAGTGATTGATTGTATTTACTCTGAAAAAGAAATAAAGTGGTTTGAATATAGGCGCTGCTTTAATTGGTAAAAAAAAAAAAAGAGTATCTAGGACACACATTTAAAATTGTACTTAGGCCAGCAACTACTGCTTTGTTGGCTGAGCTATGCTTTTTATCTGTCTGCCTATTTTGCTACTCTCTTGAAAAATCAGCAAAGCATACGAGTATTTACAGTTAATAAAGGAGTTAATCAAGTGCTATTTGGGGGTTACTTGGCTATGCAGACTGTGCTCCTATAGAGGGGGTAACCCCTGCTGTCTCAAGAAACATCAATAGTGAAAATGGAGCAAATATTGAAGATTAAAAAGAAAAAAAAATTAATCAGGCCTAGATTCCAGCAATACACATTTCTAATTGTGCCTACATAAAAATCTTTCTCTGAAGAGAGCAGGAGAGCACAAATTCGTGCGCATGTTTGAGCAAAACCAAGTGAAGTTGGAAATGTTATAAAGGCAGGCTTGGATTTGCAGAATTTCATAATAAAAATTTAGTTTGAGGAAAATGAACTACTGCATTTGAAAGAAAGGGATGGAAGCTTGAAAATTTAAGTGGGAAGCCCCTGAATAGGATGTGGCAGGTAGAGATACACAGGTGTAGTTAAGATTAGCTATGCATAGCTTCATGACTGTTTATGCCATAGTAACACACTCAGCATAATGTTATGAATTCTGGCTGATTTCTGAGGTTTCTCAGGGACAAATACAAAATCTTTTCTGTAATAACTGACACTGGAATACAAATTATTTCCTTACTCTTTTTTATTGTAGAGGACCATCATCTAAAAAGATTAGAGCTGTAACATCTTAGAAAAAAATTCAAATTCGCCCCTAAATATTTTTGTATTTTAAAACCAGATGTAGTTTAGATTTTAAAATTAGAGTGTGTTAAAAAGTCAAGGCAGTTTAGATCTTGAGCATGCAATTTTAATTTCCTTTTTTTTTTTTTTTTAAATTAAAACAAACATAAATGAACTATTAACTGCCAAACAATATTCAAGCAGAATGACAAAACTTACAGTTAGCATATTTGTATCTATGTCTGGAGGATCCACTAGTCTGGCCACTGATTCAATAAAGACAAAGAAAGCAATTACCATCAAAAAGAGGCCATTAATAAATCCTGAGAGAATTTCTACACGTCCATACCTGAAAGCAAACATATGTATGTTTGAGAGTGAAGAACAGGTACTCTGAAAAAATTTCAAATGTCTAACAAATAAAGTTACGATACATTTAATAAATCATTAAGATTGCTTTTTTTTCCTCAATGCCATAAAATCATGCCTTAATTTCTGGGTTATTTACTTCTGACCCAGAGGTAGCTAATTTGCACCTGTCCAAACACCAACAGTATAAAGCCATAATAATGTAAGTATATTTTACATATATACACTACACATTTAGGGCTTCAAACTGCTAAATTGCTGTGCAATTTAACTATACAAATTTTGATTATGTCAGCAGAATTGAAATCCTCATATAAACACTAACTTTCAACAAATATTTTTGCATGAACACAAATGGAACAGAAACCCAAAGAAGCATGCACCATTAAAACATGCCAAACATATCTTTATAGCAGGACATTTTGAAAATGAGCAAGTAGAATAATTTTTGGATAGTCCTTAAAGAACCTAACATACATACCCATAGGAAAATATGCGAGTTGCTTTCCATCTTGTCATCAGGGCTGCAAAAAGCCCCATCACTAATGCAGAACAATCAAAAAGCATGTGAAATCCATCAGATATAAGACCAAGGCTATTGGTCCATACTCCATAAAAAAGCTCCACAAAAGTGAAAGCCTAAAATGAAAGAGAGTTTGAACTTTAGCTTGAAGATTAACTTGTAATTTAATGTCTTGGTAGTTAGGAGGAAACTCTTTTCACTGGACACTTGATGGTTTTCAAAGGTATTGTTCAAAGTATTTCTAGACCATTTCCTCTCTCTTCCAATGAAACAGAAGTGATCCATGCCAAGTCTATGAAGAGACTTTTGAACCTACCATCCCAAAAGTCTTAGACCTAAGAGAACAACCCTCTACAGGAGTAAATTTTACTTTAAAATTCTAAATGAAAACTTATGTTTTGCAGACAAGATTTTAACCATTTTGTCATTAAACAATGTAACAACTTTGATCTGATCTATTATTAGTGTAAAAGCAATGCTGGCTATACATCTGTTCCGTAAAAATGTTCTTCACCAACTAGCTGTTTAGATCTTAAGAATTAATTTTGAGAAGAGGACACAAGAAAACATTTTTAATACATACATTTTCCCCTCTATGATTTACTATTATTAATTGGTCTGTCTATACAGTTTATTTTCTATCTTTCATATTCCATAACGGTATTCCTCAAAGTTATCATGGATACTTCAAGTTTCTCCCCCTATTTTCTTGGATAATAGCCAAAGACAAAGACATCTTTTAAAATCAGGTTCTATCAACCTTGCTTACTGCATAATCTTTTCATATTTGAGAAAGAGACAAATTAGAAATAAAACCATTTGCAAAAATAACACTAATCAATTCCACATTTAATATTTTGTTGTCCCCATCCTTGAAGGTCTTGCTAGTTTCAGCTCATCTGCTTGTATCATTGAGATACCTTGATCTTAACCATACCACTATACAAGTATTTACTTACTGGTATAAGAGTCACACATAGAACCAGTGCTACACTGTGACAACAAACCAAAACTAAATGCCATTTACTGTAAGATTAGCATAACAATATTCTATTTTAACATTCCATCCAATGAAAGCATTCTATCAAGGGTCAGTTTAAAAACAATCAATCATGGGAACCTTTTAAAGAATAACTCTTCTTCCTGTATTATGTATGTACTGTGACTGGGTTTGAAACACAATCCACGCACTTACCAGATTTAGGCACAAGAAATAGAAGATCTGCCTAGAATCATACTCCTCAAGGATTTGTTTCAGTGAGTCCTTAATAAACCGGGGTAATGACTGAGAGCTCTGCTGTAATGCATCACCCATGAAGTTATAGAGTGGAGTGCCTTCAGGGGAATAGCCAATAAGGGTACCCTTCTGCCCTTTCCTGGAGGGGGATGATAGGATATTGGCAGCTGCAAGAAAAGCATTGAAGTTTTTGTTGCTGTTTGTAAGCTTCACAGCTATTTCATAATGTATTTTATCAGCAATCAAAGTTTACACAAAATCTGCAGGCAGAAAAGTGACTGTCAACTTCATCTTGAGGTTTATAATTAGATTTCATTGCTATGTAAGATTAGATCATTACTTCTACAACAAATCTGTTACATTCTTTTTTTTTTTTTGAGACAAACAGTAAAAGAGCACAAAGTTACAAGCCTTTTTTACTCAAAACAATCCATAAAAGCTCATCCAAAACAATTCTCCACATATCTGTTTTCTGATTGGTTTCTCAGTTACACAAACAATAGATTTATTAAAAGATAAATAAGATTACGTACACAGAATGAAGAAGACAGCACTCACTACCACCCCTCCAGAAAGAACATGCTCTGTGCTTTCATGGTGTGGTGGCTTGTTCATAGCTCGAAGCTGGTCTGTTATTGGATGTGTCCAAAAGTTGCCGAAAAGCAATGCACTAATAAAAATAAGAAAGGATCCATATCGAGCACATGTGGAAGCTTCCATCTTGACAGAGCATATGGACTCCACGTAGAAATCCAGGATCACAACAAAAAAGATGACTGTTATGAAAGGCATGATGAGAGAAGACCAAGACTCTACTTTACTCTGCAACAAAAAACACCATTTCAAACAGGTCTGTTCACCATTACATGCAGTTGTATATACAGCATTAAGACTAGTTCACTTCTATTTCAAATGTTTTCATCAATCGATCCAAACATAAATACTTTTATACTTTCAATGTATCACATAACACCAACATTCCAGCTATGGAAAGACACATATAACTAATATGCACATTACAGCTCCTTATTCTAGATACTTTCATATGCAATGCCACGTTTGCAACGGTCTACTCTTCCAAAGCATGCAGGCATAGCAAACATGTCTTTAAATTACAATAATCTACTCCTCAGGAATAGAAAAGTCCTGTATTTATAGTCATTAATACTTGTGCAATGTTATATATGAATCCAGGATACAATACCTGAGCTAGAAAGATGAAATAAAATTATCACAGAGGAAATTAAGGCATCACACAGATGCACATCAAAGTATAGAAGAAAAATTTTAAACAGAGCTTACTACAAAAAGTAAAGATGGAAACTCTGGTCATTTTAAATGTATTTTAAAGGAAAGATTTAAATTGCACTTCACAAGCAGAAGCATTACAAAAAATAATTTATTTTTGTACTTGCTATCTTACCTCTGTTGTCAGAGAGAGGACAATAACCCATGGGCACAACAGAAGGACGGAAACAATATGAGACAAAGCTTGAAGACGCTTGGCTCCACCTACATCTACAGATAGTTTTCGGGAAGCCATGTGAAAACCAACCTTACAGCACAGTGCCAGTACCAGAAGCAGTACTCCTCCCTGGAAACACAGAGGGATTCTGTTAGCATTTCTTAAGAGCCAAATACCTCACTCAAGACAAAGTGACACTTACATGAAAAAAGATGAATGTGCTTTCCTTATCAACAAAAGCCAAAGACAGGATGTTTCCTGTTAATTGTTACTAAAAAAGTAACATAGCATACATGGTTATACCTCAGCACTATTCACAACAGCCTAAGATGACTTGGTTTAAAGCTCTCTGTAGTGTTCACTGGTATGCAGCAGAAGCGAATTGATCCTGAACAGCATACGAGGGAAAAGAGAAATCATGAAAAACTCAGTTTCCCATCTTCCATTATTAAGTAAGTTTTGTCAGTAAACCCCAAAAGCGTCAAGGCTTGGCCTCTAAGTCTTTCATAACCTTTTAATTTACTTATATTTAATCACACTGTATTTCTTCACAATATTTTTTTCAAAATTTGTCTATAAATTAATCATAAGGTACACACACATCATCTCACCTCCCTTAGATCACACTTGCTTTGCACACAGTTAAGTAGTCTAACATTTGACTTATTTTTATATTCATACTCTCTCAGCTGCTCCATACTTTTTTTCCTGTTTTAGTCCTCAATGCAGCCACAGTACAAGACTAAGCTAACAGAACAACTCAATCAGTCAGGTCAATCCCGTACAGTAAGACTTTGCTACTCAGTTATTCATGCCAATTATAATGGGACTATTGAGAATATCAGAATCTGTGTCTTCAAATGCATGCATCTAATGTAAACAAAAGACCGACGAAAGATAAAGAAGCAGCAACAAAACACAGATTCTAAAAGTGAGCAAGAAATGGCTTGTATGCAAAGCACTATAAACATCCAGACATGGATGACAGAATACTTCAAGATAATTTTAATGAGACTTTTTAGGTTACACAGTACAGCAAAGTCCTTATCAACTACAGAAGTCAAATATTGTATGCTTTGGCTTGCTGTATTGAAGCTGATCATATTCAATCATGATGTAAATATTACATGCTAGTTCAGGTCCAATATGGGGTGGGGATGTTGAACTTTTTGGTTTTGATTTAGGCTTGGATTAGCTCTGAGCTGGTGAACTTCTTACCTACAAAACTTAGGATAAATATTAACCTACCAAAATACAAGTTATTTACCTTGTGATCTGCAACACCCAAGAAAGCAATGATTGTATACAGAACATGGGTAAGAGCACTGTCATGATGCCCTTCAGCTAAATAAAAAAATTAAGGAAGAGTTTCACTTGATTTTTTAAAAAAAAAAAACAAATAACAGGTAGAGGTAGCAGAAGACCACATTAAGCTGAAAAAAGCAAACTGAGCTTTAAGGTTTGTAAAGGTTCTAAAATCTAGGAAAGATGAAAATATTTCCACAGAAAGTAAATAGTTAAAAATATGGGGAAGGGAAGAGTATTTTAAAACATGAGAACAGTCACTATTAAATACTGCACAGCAGTCATGATTCAGGATTTATATTAACTCTGGCAATCAGACTTCAAAAATATACTCAACAGCATTAAATATTAGGTCTATTTTCACTAAAAGCACTAAACCCATGAGGTGTCTAAAATATGACCTATATCTTCCCAGTTTCTATGTATTTAAACTTTAGAAAACAAAGAGTTACTGACAAACACAATGCAGCAAGTACAAAAATAATGACAACTTTTGGAAAACTGTTAGAGGGCACTTTAACAATGAATTTACTCACTGAAAGCTCAGTGGATTAATTGATACTATTCCTGGATACAGCATTTGCATCTGAATTCCATGCTTTCATCCTTCCTTAAGAAAGTTTACTTGCACGTTGCTTGTTTTTACTGCCCACCTTAATATACCACTTTTTGCCAGCACACTTCACTATGATGAGACAACCTGTTGAAAACTTACTTCAGAATCCCTTCCCATTTAACTCGGTGGCTTTGAAAGCATGCTAGCTAGCTTCCATTTGTAGCTTAAAGTCCACTGCTGTTGGAAGTTACTGTTGCAGGCTACTTCACATCACTTTTCAGCCTAGCAGATGATCTGAGATGACCACATTTGCAAAAGCAAGACAATCTTTAAGCCACTCTCCATGATATCTGAAAAGTCACTGCAGTCAGGTGAAGTCCCCAGTGACTGGAAAAGGGAAACATTGCACCCATTTTTAAAAAGGGCAGAAAGGAGGACTCTGGGAACTACCGACCTGTCAGCCTCACCTCTGCGCTTGGGAAGACCATGGAACAGATCCTCCTAGAAGCTGTGCTGAGGCACATGGAGGACAGGGAGGTGATTTGGGACAGCCAGCATGGCTTCACCAGGGGCAAGTCCTGCCTGACCAACCTAGTGGCCTTCTGTGATGGAATGACTACATCAGTGGACAGGGAAGAGCTACAGATGTCATCTATCTGGGCTTCTGTAAGGCCTTTGACATGGTCCCTGACAACATCCTTCTCTCTAAATTGGAGAAATTTCATGGGTGGACTCTTCAATGGATTAGGAATTGGCTTGATAGTCACATCCACAGGGAAGTGGTCAACAGCTCACTGTCCAGGTGGAAATCAGTGGAGAGTGGTGTCCCTCAGGGGTCTGTACTGGGATCAGTACCATATATCTTCATCAGTGACAGAGACAGTGGGAATGAGTGCACCCTCAGCAACTCTGCAGGTAACACCAAGCTGAGTGGTGTGGTTGATACACCTGAGGAATGGGATATCATCCAGAGGGACTTGGACAAGAAGTGGGCCCATGTGAACCTCATGAAGTTCCTGCTCCTGGGTTGTGGCAAGCCCTGGTATCAATACAGGCTGGGGTATGAAGGGATTGAGAGTAGCCCTGTGGAGAAGGACTTGGGGGTACTGGTGGATGAAAAGCAAGACATGAGCCAGCAATGTGCACCTGAAGCCCAGGAAGCCAACTATATCCTGGCCTGCATTAAAAGAAGCATGGCCAGCAGGTCAAGGGAGGTGATTCTGCCCCTCTGCTCTGGTCAGACCCCACCTGGAGCACTGCATCCAGATCTGCAGTCCTCAGCACACAAAGACATGGACCTGTTGGACCAGGTCCAGAGGTGGCCACAAAAATGATGAGGGAGATGGAACACTTCTCCTGTGAGGACAGGCTGGGGTTTTAAGCCTGGAGGAGACAAGGCTGAGGGGAGACCTTATCGTGGCCTTTCAACACTTGAAGGGCGTTTACAACAAAGATGGGGACAGACTTTTCAGTAGGGCCTGTAGCGATAGGTAATGGTTTTAAACTAGAAGAGGGTAGGTTCAGACTAGATGTAAGGAAGACTTTTTTTACACTGAGGGCCGTGAAACACTGCAACAGGCTGCCCAGCGAGGTGGTGTTACAGGTGAGTTTCTGAGAGACATCTCAAATCAGAGAGATATATTGGGTCACTGCCTGCTGCCATCCTGGACAGCTCAAAGGGGTCTCACTTAGGGTCACTCTTTATAGGATCACAAGATGATTGAGTTTGGTCAGTAGATTTTCTGGCCATAGAATTTCGGCCATAATTCTTGTCAGGTAATTCTGGTACCTTCCAGGGCAGGCTAAGATCCAGGCCACAGGCGTTATAGATATAGTTCCTAGGCAACAGGAGTTCCAGGTATGGTTAGGGAGCACCTAGTTCCAACTCATTATACTTGTACACAAGAAAGTGCCAGATCATCCTAGCTTGCTGCACTTGTAACCAAGACCATAGCACAGTGTTAGCTGGTCCTGACATTGCAATATAGCCCAAGGGGTCTGCACTACCACAGGTGGTAGACAACCCATTCCTGGAAACAGTCGAGGTCAGGTTGGACAGAGCTCTGAGTAACCTTATCTAATTGAAGATGTCCCTGATCATTGCAGGGCGGAGGGTTAGACTACATAACCATTCTGTGATTCTATGAATCTTTCTGGACACATGGAAAAGACTGCCAGCCAGACTGTCAACCATTTACTGCATACACTTAGGAGAGCTGACTAAAAAGCTTCTAGCAATTTTAAGTAGTCTGATATGTGCAAATGGTCAGGGAGCCTTTAACTACAACTTGAAATCTATAGCTGTGTTCTAAGTTATCGAAGCAAGCAATGCCATTCATTCAGCTGTAAATACCAGTATTTAGATGTAAAAGTAAAATCTTCTGCTGTAATAGTCTCAAAAGGTAAGACTCCTATCAAGAAAAATACAAGCATATTTAATTCAGTGCACTCAGCTCCACAATCTCTCTACTCCAGTAATAACAGGCACTTGATTCTACACATAGCAAGAAAGGATACGGTGTTCTGCTATTTTAGCCATGAGGTCATCATTATCAAAAAGCAGTAAACAGACGACAGCTACGATGAAAAACGCAGCACCTCTTGTCTGTAAAAAAAACAAAACAACACAACAAAAAGCCCCAAATATTTTTATAATGTGCTGTACCAGATTGATGTAAAAAAATTCAGGAAATCAGTCCCCTTCCTCGCTCCTTCCTGATCAGTTAAGCATTTTAGTTCAGTAAGAAAAACATGAGGAAAAAAACATTTTCTTTTAAAAAGTGACCTTGACTATATAATTTTATATTTATTCCAGTTTTCAGATTTACCAGATAATTCAGGGCAAATCACCACTGTAAGAAGCTAGAAGCCTGTTTCTTATGAACTTCAAGTGTGGTTGCTTCCTTCTTCATGGTGTGTTTCTGCCTGCCAGAATGCACTGCTACATAAGCCTGATGATTTATTCTTTTGTAGCATCAAGGAGCTATAAATAGTATCTAGTGGACAAACTAGAATTTTGTCTCAGGGGAGGTAAGGGCTAGGGAGGGCACTGTGCAAGAGCTCTGAGAAAGCAGAGCCCTGCAGTGCTTTTGTGGAGAAGGGACAAAGGTAGCTATGAATTCCCAGCTCCCAGAGCTTTTCACTACCCTGACTTAAGACACTGTAATTTTGCTATTCATCATCTTGGCAAGACGCTGAGCTCCACAGCTAAAAAATACTATTACAATTCATCTTGCAAAGCCAAATATAGCTATCATGTTCTTGTTTTGGGAAGTCAGCTGACTTCTCTTTGCCACAGTTCACTTCATAAAGCTGAAACATTCGAGGACAGGGCCATCACTCCCTTGTTTTTGCTGCCTTAGACATGCAGCTTAACTGCCAAGCATGGCCCACTGAGATAAATCACAGAATGATAAAGAACCCCTTTGAAGTTCCACATCTACCCTTTGGGTGGTTGGCTGAAGAAAAATATTTGTCTTCTAGATGAAGAGCTTCATGTTGGATGCCCTAAGCATCTCAATTTGAGGGGGGTGGGTACAGAGCATCAGAGCTGACAACTGTGCTATTCACTGTAAGGCCAGCCTAAAAGTGATCAGGGAACTCCAGCAACAGTTAAGAGACAGAGATTTCAAAACTGCCAGCCTGAGGGTCACCAAAGCCAGACTTTCTCTTACACAGCAAGTACTCTAGCTTCAGGTATGTAACATCATAAAGTACATTCATCCAGCTGTCACTGGTTTTGCGTTAAAGTGGCCAAGACTGCTAGGTGCTGGGATGAGCTCATTCCATTTAGGGCTGATGAGGCATAGTTAAAGAACATCTTGCGAAAATGTGTGCAATGGGACTTAGGCAAAGGGTGTCTCAAGTACAGATCTTTGATTAAGTGAAAGCCTGGGCCCATTCAGCACATATAGGCTCATGCAGACATTGAAGTACTTAAAGAACATTTTGGCAGAAAAAAACAAAATATGTGAAAAGCTACAGACATTGAAGAGGCTGGGCCCGGAGACTGTATTGCTGGATTTCAGTGCCTAAAGACCAGGACCACTATATGCACATATGTCCTTTTGTCAGTTTGAACCCAGAATCCCCTTACAAAGAATTCTTAGGTGCAAAAATCATTCTCCAGGTTCTTTTCCACCTACTAACAGAAAAAATTCTCAGGTATCTGCCATGGATGTCTCACAGCTTCACTTGCTGTTTCTCTCTTAATGTCATATTTATTATTTCAAGTAGTATCTCTTATAATTTCACCACTAATTGAATTTAAAAATAAACATTTTCTATGAACACAGGTATGACACAGTTCCGGGTAAAGAAGTAATTGAATTTATAGCATTCAGTATCTTTTACATTTGGTAAAATAAATTTTTAAATACCTTTGCTGGTCCTCCACCTGAGCTTGTGAACAAGACACTAAGGAGTGACAGCACAACCACATCACTGTGCTCAAACAGCAACAATGTCCTATAAAAAAGTGAAATAAAGACTTATGTCCACTTAAAAGTTTAGCTCGCAAGCTAGATACATACTCTTTCAGCTAAAACAATGACACAGCAAACAAAGATTTATCCTGTAATTTCAAGAGCAAATTCAAAATTCAAAAGACAAATGAAAATCTCTTCACCTTCACCAGCAATAGAGCTAGCTGTGGACAGCAAGGCATATCACAAAACAAAAAGCTTCATAACCCAAGAAACAGATTAAAATTATTCATTTATAGATTGCTTTATATTGTAGGAACACAAGAAGATACTAACTTGCTCAAGACAGAATTATTATTCCATTACAATAACTCATCTAAACCAAAGTTTCTGGCTCCCAGAAAAAAAGAGGTCCTGTTCTGTTCTATTACATCCTGTTTATTGAGATGTCAGTGAGGTATCTCCTTCAGATAGCAAAGGCTGACTAACAAGCTATACTGACAGCTTTCCAGAAGAGAGCATGAAAGTAATAATTGCTGTCAAGTTTACCAAACGCTTTTGCCATTCTCCACATAGCAATACAACCTGCTAGGGCCCCTGTTACTGGTTCTGTTTGGGAAGAATGCCATCATCCAGGAAGGCACTACACTATTGAGAAATCCTATCATTCTCAGGTATGCCTACAGCTGTGTAAAGGATAAAACTTCCAATTTCATAAAACGTATGGTTTAAGGCTTTACCTTCCTCTCTTCAATGAAAAAGATGCTTTTAAATTGTGCTGGTTTTGGCTGGGATAGAGCTAATTTTCTTCATAGTAGCTGGTAGGGGGCTATGTTTCAGAGTTTTACTGGAAACAGTGTTGAAAATAGAGGGATGTTTTCATTATTTCTGAGCAGTGCTTACTCAGAGTCGAAGTCTTTTCTGCTTCTCACCCCATCCCACCAGTGAGTAGACTGGGGGTGCATCAGAAGTTGAGAGAGGACACAGCTGGGACAGCTGATCTCAACTGACCAAGGGATATTCCATACCATATGGCATTGTGCTCAGCATATAAAGCTGGGGGAAGAAGCGGGAAGGGGGGGATGTTCAGAGTGATGGTGTTTTGTCTTCCCAAGTAACCATAAGGTGTGATGGAGCCCTGCTTTCCTGGAGATGCCTGAATATCTGCCTGCCAATGGGAAGTGGTGAACTAATTCCTTGTTTTGCTTTGCTTGTGTGCATGGTTTTTGATTTACCTATTAAACTGTCTTTATCTCAACCCATGAATAGTCTCACTTTCACCCTTCGGATTCTCTCTCCTATCCCACCAGAGGGGAGTGAGTGAGCAGCTGGGTGGGGCTTAGTTGCTGGCTGGAGTTAAATCACAACACTAATACATTAACTGCAGTTTTTGGAAGTCTAATGTTACTCTCTTATAGTTACTCAATCAGTACTGCTAACAAACAGCACAACTGATTTTACTCTGAGTATATGCACTTAATGCTACCCAATTACAACACAGCACAGGCATATGACTAGATAAAGCAGTGCCCTGTGACAAATGCAGAAACTGATTCTATAGTCAACTGGCAGAGCAATACAAGCTGCTATCACTAGCTGTCAGGCTATGGACTTCAAACAGTTAAATAAACAATTGGAGTTACATTAATGTGACACTAGGGAAAGCATGAAAGTCACAGTCAGTGATCTTGCATCACTCATATCAATAGTTAAAGCACTATCAAGAACTGCACTGGCATCTTGTTGAAGAATGAATGAAGAAAATTACAAGTTCTACAGAAAATTATAGGAAGCTTTTTCCAAGCACAATGGAGTTCATAGGAAAAAGCACAGAGATCCATTTAAAATTTTAAAAATAAGCCCATGATGCCATCCTCTGGCTTAACGGACACAAAACGAAAGACAAAGGAGCAAGACAGCGAAAGATCACAAAAATTAGCTTAAAAATAGAAAACATTCCTTACAGTAAGTACATATTTACCTCAGTGGTCCACAAAGAGTAAGGCCAAAAAACCACAAGAGTGAAATGATACATCCCACAACAGCATGCTTAAAAATTTTGATCCACTACAAAAGAAAGATATTTCATTAATATTTTCCCCACAGTATCAAAATAAACAGCCCATTATCAGCATTCTCACAGTAACTGTAGAGATAGAGGGGAAAACATATGCTCTGCAAGTTCTGCAAAATTCATAGCATGATTATCTTTACTACTCTGCCAGTCAACTAAGGTTTGTTTGGACATACTATGAACCAGAACTATTTATTTCTTTTCTACCACAGTACTAAATTCTGCAGTATAGTCTGAGATGTCTTTAACAAAAAGTCTGCAAAAAACCACTGAAAAAAATCCATTTACCTGTCAAAGATGCTGTTTATTCTGTAATCTATTGTATATTTCTGATAAACATATATAGAACTAGATAAGACATCCAAGATAAAGAGCCTAAGACCTTAAGTGTGTATGTGTTAAATTCTTTCTTCAGGAAGCAGGTTATAATTCATCTATTCAATACATTATTATCTGTAAAGGCAAGTTTTTTAAGATAAGTCATTCATTTTGGAAATATATTAGACAAGGCAAACTGCCTGTGACAAACCATGACACCACATGCTCAAAATGCAGAATTTAAAAATTTTTAGCAATAGTGAAACCATAAATGGACAGATTTTTCCCAACACAAGTCAATGATGGAATTTATTCCTGTTCATACTTCAAAATTCTGCTATACGTATATAATCATGAAAGCAGTTGACATTAGAAACACTTCTGAGGCTATCCTTCAGATTCTCTCTACTTAGTACATACACCGATTACATTGTGTGTGGATCAAATTTTTGGGCACACAACTAACATAAAACCAAGTGAATATGGAGCAGGTGAAGAAAATCTATTTCTCAAAACAGCAGGTTCCAACCTGGCCCTACTTGGCTATCTTGGGATACTGGGAACTAAACACAGGTCTGAGGTGCATAGACGAGCCCCTCATCACAACATACCACACAAATCCACTCTTTTGGCATGGGGGCTATCACTGGAGCTCTTCAACACTTGTTCAGCCTTTGTTCTCCTTTCATTTTTGACAAGAGCCACATTGTCAAGAATGTCTACAAAGATGTGAATCACTACTATATACATCAACTCACCTGACGCTTGGTTACCACTTTTCCAGAAGAAAATGGCTTTTGAAACAAAAGCATAAAAGATGCAGATCTGTTAAAAGAAGGAAGTTTTCTCTATTAGTGTATTAGAAGTAATTTTTTTTTATTCAAACCAGCTCTAACTAGGTCTTTCACATCAGGCTCGGTTCACAAAACAGCTTTTTCTACATTTTTCATTAAAAGGCCACACTGACCACACTTACTGGTTTTATTTCCCCTGCTGCATTACATGTGTTAGATACCAGTACAAAGCTGATGAAAAGTAAACTTCAGTTCTGGCCAATTTTAAATGCAAGTTCTCCAGAGAACAGCTAATGAGATGTTTAGCTGTGATCTACAAAAATACAAATAACTGATCTCAGAAGTTATGAGGAGAAATAATACTATGTTTTTTATTAACAGGATACATACACCCAAAGGCTTATTCATATACAGAATGCCAAATATGGTCTTATTAGAAATGGTAAGAAACATCATGCATCTTCCTCAACTGGGATCCACAGTAAATGATGGGGAAAAAAACAATATGCTGCTTGGTAACATGCCAAGTGATAAGCCCAGAAATATAAACAAATTTGAAGCTAAGGGGAAAAATAAGGTTCCAACTCTGCCAAGTTTGTCACAGAAATGCTCCTCCATGTCGTATCAGGTAAACATGCAGCAGGACTGTGTCTGCAAAAGTTGTTTCTGTCTATTTGCTATCAGTTTCTACTTCAGTTCTAAATCGAGGAAAAATAACAATTGAAGCTCACAAGCACTACAGGAACACACGTTGTAGGAAAAGAGCTTGTCTTCTATACCTTTCTTAGGAAAATCTGGACAGGCCTGATTCTCCTATGATCAGTAGTGTCATACAATGATCAGTTTTAAGTTAACAAAATCACAAGTTTCACAGGGGTAGAGTAGTCCTACAGAGAGATGTGGATAGAGCTGCACAATCACCAACCATATGAAATTTAAAAAGAGCAAGTGCCAGATTCTTCACCTGGGGATGGCGTGCTCCTGGTCTTATGTACAAATTGGGGGATGAGAGGCTGGAGAGAAGCCCTGCAGAAAGAGATCTGGTGATCTAGGTTGATGGCAAGTTGAATATGAGTCAGCAGTGTGCCCTGGCAGCCAAAAGGGCCAGACATGTCCTGGGGCACATCAAACACAGCATAGCCATTCAGTCCAGAGAGGTGACTGTCCCCCTCTACACTGCACTGGTACAGCCCCACCTCGAGTACTGTGTGCACTTTGGGTTGCCTCAATATAAGAAGGACATCAAACTGGTAGAGTGTGTCCAGAAGAGGACAACAAAGATGGTGAAAGGTCTTGAGAGCAAGACTTAGGAGGAACGGCTGAAGTCACTTGGCTTGTTCAGCTTGGAGAAGGCTGAGGGTTGACCTCACTGCAGCCTACAATTGTCCTCAAGGTGGGCATCAGAAGGGGAGGTGCTGATCTCCTCTCTCTAGTGACCAGTGAGAGGACATGAGGAGATGGGATGAAGTTGTGTCAGGGGAACTTCGGGCTGGGCATAAGGAAAAGGTTCTTCATAGAGAGGGTGGCCAGTCATCAGAACAGGCTCCCCAGGGAAGTGGTCACAGCCCCAAGCCTGTCAGAGTTCAAGGAGCATCTGGATGATGCTCTTAGTCATATGGTTTAGTTTAGGTAGCCCTGTGAGGAGAAGGGAGTTGGACTCAATGATCCTTATGGATCCCTTTCAGCTTGAAATATTTTATGATTCTGAAATCACGGTGAGCAAAGATATGAAGGAAAAACACTATTAGAGTATTTCCTGGATCCACTCATGCCTTCTCCTCTTCAACTGATCAATAATAATATAATGCAGGGTATAATTTTGACACTAACAAAGAACACCATAGAAAAAGTGTGTCATAAATGCAGTGGATAAGGCTTCGCCCCCTGCACACTCACCCCAGCTGCACTATAAAGATAAACTGCACGAGGTGGACTGCTTTCAGAAGATCATAGGACTCAAAGAGCCCCACTGCTTTCAAGAACTTGGTGAAGCACAGCAGTACAATGTACCGAGTCAGCCTGCAAAAGGAGAGAGGGCAGTCTGCAACTGTGACCACACACATGCTGCCACAGCTGTCTGGGCACAGGCCCCACCGCACCCCAGAGACAGGCCACATCAGGTGTGGGTCCCGCACCCACTACACCCCAGGTCCAGGCCACCCCAGACCCTGGACAGAGATCCCACCACAACCTGGAGACAGGTCCTGCTGCCCTCTGGGCCCCTCTGCACTCCAGTCTGGGACTCGTCTAAATGGGGAGGCAAGCCACCCTGGGCCCAGGCCACGTCAAATGCTGGAGCCAGGCGAGCCAGGAGCTGAGTCCCACCACGGGCCCAGGAGCCACATCCCACTGCTCCCTGCAGCAAGGCCAGCTGGGCCTGGGATTCCCCCAACCCCGGGCCACCCCAAGCACCTGATTCAGGTCCTGCTGCACCCCTGGGCTACCAAGAGCCCCGAAGCAAGGGACATGCCGGACCTCGGGCCCCACCCCTCCCGGGACACTGTGACCCTCAGATTCAGGTCCCACCACACCTCACGCAATCCCAGATCCAGGTGCCGCTGTACCCCTGGCCACCTCGAACTCCACAGTCAGGTCCCGTAACTCCCCGTGCCACCCTGAGCCCCGGAACGAGGTCCTGCTACACCCCGGACCATCCCGTGTCACCCCGGAGCCAGGAACCCACCAAACCTCAGGCCACGGTAAGCCCCATATCCAGGTCCCGCCACACCCTGGGCCACCTCGGGCCATCTGGAAACCAGGGACCCGATGCCCCCCCAGAGGGCACCCCAAGCCCCTGATCCATGTCATGTTGTACCCTGGACCACTCTGATCCTCTGAAGCAGGTCCTTCCACACTCCGGACCACCCCAAGTCCCACATCCACTCCCTGCCGCACCCTGGCCCGTCCCGTGTCACCCCAGAGCCAGGCCCGAGATACTCCGGGCCACCCCGAGTCCCAGGATCCAGCTCCCACCGCAGCACAGCCACCCCGGGTCACCCCGAGCCCCATATAGAGGTTCCGCTACACCCCGGACCCTCCCGTGTCACTCCGGAGTCAGGGACCCGCCACTCTGAGCCCCGGAGCCATGTTCTGCTGCACCCGAGGCAACCCGAGTCCCAGAGGCAGGTCCCGCCATAGTCGGGGATCAGGTCCCGCTGCACTCCAGGCCACCGTGACCCCTAGATCCACCTCCCGCTGCACAACC